CTTAATATTGACGTGACATCTGATCACATGTATAAGGCACTCGGAGAATGACTATCGCTCTGACTATCACAAAATTTCCTGATTGGTGTATATCAATTTCCTAAAATTATATGATAAGAAAAACAAAAGTAATGGTTATTGATTTTCGGAAAAGTAAAGGTGAGCTGCTGCCAATTGTAATTGATAACGAAACCATAGATGGTGTTGAGGAATATATACTACCATTCAAAAGTTTAGACTCACTTAAAGTACTCACTATATCTTATGTATATATATAATAGTTACATCAAAGATGAATTTCTCCACTAACTTAGAGGAACCAACTGCAAGCCATATGCAGATGAATTGCAAGAGGATCATGCATCAAATTGTTGAAAAGCAAGAGCAAATATCGTGCATGTAAACGGCTGCATTTTGGTATAACGTTTTGTTCAGAATTTGCCAATTTTCATCGAGTTATTAACACGTGGTTTATCGAGTGGTGAAAATGTGTTTGTCCTTGTCTCAACCACTCGCCTGATTCATTGCATGACCCCATGATGCATATTAGCTAACAGGTTTGTGCGAAGCATTCATTCATTGTGGAAATGGGTTTTCAACAAATTATTTAAGTATGATAAAACAACAGTTTCCCTTGACGAGCTCACGACTCTTTTGAATAGTGTATTATTCAAACAATTATATGAGGTATATCGATCTCAACGCAAACCAATGTGACGTAAACAAATAACACCATAAGCGACAAACGTTAGTACACGTAACTTCTTCTAACACATTAATTGCTCACATCCACTACTTCCTCTTCAAAGTAAATATACATTCAGTAACTTACTGTACGCACCGTCACAATGTTCCTAACACGTCTCCACTCAGGGCACGAATGTGTCCACAAAGAGACATGTGTTAAAGTTATAGATAACGACAACCAATAATATACCCCGATTGCAAAACACTGGCTACACCCTACCGTGTGTATCGTCAACCGTAACGTCGGAAACCCACTGCTAGTGACCTGTCCCGAATTTAGCTGCAGTGCAGTTAAACAGCAAACTTGAATCGTGTCTAGATATACACAACATGAGTTTCGTAGAAGTGGTCTTGAAGTTTCCCCGATGTAGTTGTTGCCACAGTTGCAGCTGATGTTGTAGACCGCACCCTTTGGCTGTTGTTGTTTTGCGTATTTCCTACCGTTAGTCGTAATGGTGGTTTTGAGTGGTGTGCCCGTCATATAGTAAGTGTCATATGCCTGCTTGCTGCGTTAATAAACGACTGATGTGGTGGGATGTTTCACGTATGTATGGTAGTGAGATGCGGATGTGGCAGCAACTACATTGGGGAAACATCAAAACCACTCAACATTCCAATTAAGGAACACAATACATCCGCTATTAATTCAGACACACAATCAGTCATTTTGGAACACATCATCAAACATCCTCAGCACAACATCAGTTGGGACACTGTTAAAACACTAGCAAACAATGAACATGATTACACTACAAGAAAATTGACAGAAGCACTACAAATATAATGACACGACCCAAAACTTAATATGAACAGGCCTATTTTATTCCATCAGCTTTACCACCACCTAATATAAAACTAATTTATCCAATCTCCTCTCTGTGGCTTCTCACACTAATCCCTCCCCAATTAGTATCCCCATTCTCACCTATAATCCTGTTCATCATGCTTTTATCCTGCCTCGATTTGTCTCATGTATAAATTATTATTGTTTTCATCTTATCTTTATCACCCATCTTCTTTGTTAGCCCTCATGTACCCTAAATATTCGCTGCTGTATCCATTCACCACCTAATGCTTTAAAACCGTTACGGTATAAATATATTTACCGAAACGTCGCTATTGTACAATAAAGAAGTTGATCATCCATACAGACTTGTCATTCCTCGTAGATCTGTAGCTTTCAATAACAGGGCGAATCTAGGGAGAGGGATAGGACAGCTGCAAGGTTTCTGGACATGGTGGACAGAATCCACTCTTACAATTCTAATGAGGTCTATACAAATGACATATACAAGAAAGCTGAGAAGGGTATGCTGAAGAAGGAGGAAAGGTTCAGACAGGAAATGAGGCTGAAGTAAATAAGGAGAAGAGAAAGATTGAAGAGAAATATCAGGCCAAGACGACAGCAATGCAAGAGGATCAGACGGAGAAGATTGTTCAAGCATTAAAGAACAACAGAAGCAGCAACAACTAGAAATGGAGGAAATGAAAATGGAAATAGAGAAAGAGAGACTGCAAATGGAAAGTGATCTTCAGAGGAGCGACAGCGTCTGAACTGGAAGCCGAACGGAGGAAGATGTTATGTGAGGCTAAATTATAAATAAACGGCTGGACAACAGGTCAGCAATGAAGGAGAGATGAATTCCTGGTCCTGCAGGAAGTCTGAGTACGAATATGGTTCCCTAGCGTTCTTTGCCTGTCATGAGAGGGGACCAGATGGATCGTAAGGGGAGGGCCAGTCTCGGTCACTTGCTACACTGCTCATGTGCTTCCTAATGAATATGGCCTAGTGGTATCGCGTTCTGTGCATAGTTTTAAAACATATAAAGGAATACTAGTACATTAAGTCATAGAAAGGTATGTGTTGTACAACATGAAGCCCCTGCCATCCCCACAATTTGCTTTAGCTGTAAATGAGTGAATCATTGACTGTAAACAGGCTTGTAATTATAGGTTGTAGCTATATGGTCTACAAAATATATCGTCTACCAGGAATCGCATTTTAACGGTAAGTGACCAACTTTAACACTAATGTTCTACATTGTATCTAACGCTTCCACCTTAAGCGACGTAGCAGATCAAACTGGGCGATTTTGTTGATTCCATGTCATTGTCATTTCATGGAGATCGATGACAATGTCAGTCGCTGGGTTGTCTAGTTACGTTGTTCACCAACCGTGGTCACAGATCTGGAATCTCAAACTTTATCCAACCAAATTAGGACAATCTACGATATATGTAAAGCCTAAACACCTGTATAGCAATAGTAAATGGAAGTGTTCTTGTTTGTTTCCATCACTACCTGACATTAACATTAATAGACGATACAAAACTGAAACGAAAATAGAAAAATCACTTGTATGCGTATCGTGCATAAAGTGCACAAGGTCAGACATATCATTCTTACGTCAATTGTAATGTATGTGCCGGAGAACTGGCTGCCATTTCCCATAATGGTGATTCCCAAAGCTGGGTACTTACAATACTCTTTCATGGAGAACCACCCATGTCATAAGACCACAATAACTAATGGGTGACTTGGACCCTTTAGCTTCGTTCACTGTAACCCGATAATGCGGGTTGTTTCTTTGTCTCAGCCACTGGTTTGCCTGTTTGACATTAATTGCAGGACACCATGATACACCTGAACAGCTTAAGAAACTTTAGAAACTGTATATACAAATGGTCGTCTCATGGCTCAAAGGGTGATACTGGAACATTCATTTCCCATAAAGGCGATTCCCAAAGCTGGGTACATACAATACTAATTTCACGAAGGACCACCCATGCCATAAGATCACAATAACTAATGGGTGACCTGAACCCTATTTGTCAACCACTGGTGTGCCTGTTTGACAGTAATTGCACGATCCCATGATACACCTGAACAGCTTTGGACAAATCATCGTTTCATTGTAAAAAATAAGTTTCCAACAGAACATTATAGTATGCTGAAATACCATCTCCCATGACGAGATTCTTGTGAAGACTCGCCCAGACAGGGATGTAATATTCAAACAATTATATGATCAGAACTATCCCGCTGCAAAATCACACAAATAACATACCTCGGTTGCCAAACACCGGTTACTCCCTCTTGTGTGTACCACAACATTAAACGATATTCCCATTATCGGGGAATCAGGCGTTTGGGATTCCCAGTGTCACAATATTCTCTTTGTGATCAATAGGCTGTTGTGCATATTCAAATGTCCTCGCTGTGGTAAACGCTCGGCTTGTCACGTGTTCCAGCTTTCGCTGCAGTGCAGTTAAACAACAAACCTGATTCGTGTCCAGATGTATACAAAGTGAGCTTAGTAGGAGGGAGAAATTAAGTGACAGGTATGTAAAAAATCAAACATTCTTGTGAAATAGATCACACTTAGTGATTAATCTTGAGTCTAATGCTACAAAGGGGTCATACTTTCTATTAACTGGTGTAATTTCAAGACCTCGATCCTCCAAATATGAAAACCCCGGTTATTTTCAGTTTTGGCTTCTACATGTCATCTATGGTTATCAGTAAGTTGTTGACGCGAAACATGGATCATGACCTGTCTCATCACTGTCGTACTCAACTAATCTTGGTCGTTCTCATAGTCTGAAATGCAAGCAAAAGTACCATTTTGTACTTAAGGGTTGCGAAAAATCATATGTTTGATATAATTATGGAAATGGCTGTTGTGTCTTACGTGAAGTGAAAGTAGTTAATCTAGTTTGTCGTTTACTCACAAACTGTTTCGGAAGATAATTGAGAGCAGTTTAATCTCATTTATTTTATAGTTGTATGAGTCACGAAACATCAGTTGTAAACAGATCTTTAGTAATCAAAATGTAAAATGTTCTAAACGAATATGTCTTTTTGTAGGACTGGATCAAAGACAAAAAGCAGAGAACATATGAAGAGGATGGGTGAGTAGAAGAGTATCTTCTAAATGTTAAAATTATCTATCAATAAGTCAAGGTAGAAACTGTTCCACTGTTCATTTAATTCAACATCATTTGAATTGTGAGATTACAAGCATATTGTTTCATACTCATGTTTTTTGCTTATGTTTCACTGGTATTGAGGAAACGACTAGGTATTTAATACGTGTATGTAGAAGAAACTTGTAAATGTGAAGAACAACTTGTAAAATCACTACATTTAGGAGTCACGTAATGATTACATGTGAATCTGACTTCCTTAACAGAAAGTGGAATGACAAATACATTTCCAACACACAACTATTAAGTATACAATTACCACCCAGATGCGTCTATCGGATGGTCGGAGAACGTTTGTCCAGAGAGAAGACTGGTCGTCTTGGGACGGACAGGGTCTGGGAAGAGCGCTACATGTAACAACATCCTTGATCGGGGGCGAGTTCAAGTCCGATATATGTGGCCAAAGTGTCACCGACAAATGTCAAAGGGCCACCTGTCAGAGGTTTGGACGAAACGTTGAGATCATTGACACTCCAGGACTGTTTGATACGGGCATGTCCAATGCCGACGTCACCAGGGTGGTGGTGAAATGTGTTGGGATGGCTGCACCTGGACCACATGCCTTCGTTATGGTTGTCAGGGTCGATCGATTCACGAAAGAGGAACAAGACACAGTGGAACACTTCAAGAATGTCTTTGGAGAAGGTATGATGAAGTACCTCATGATTCTATTTACCCGAAAGGATGAACTGGATTGTTGCGGCAAAACTATTGAGAAATATCTGGAAGACGTACCACAAATGCTACGAGATCTACTGAAGTCCTGTGGCAATAGATATATTGCTTTTAATAACAGGGCAGGTCCGAGGAGAGGAATGAGGCAGTTCAAAGGTTTCTGGACATGGTGGACAGGATCCACTCTAACAATTTTGGTGAGGTCTACACAAATGACATGTACAAGGAAGCTGAGAAGGGTATGCTGAAGAGGGAGGAACGGCTCAGACAGGAAAATGAGGCTGAAGTAAATAAGCTGAAGAAAAAGATTGAAGAGGAATATCAGACCAAGATGACAACAATGGAAGAGGCTCAGACTGACAAGATCGCTCAACTCGTTCAGCAGTTAAGCATTAAAGAACAGCAGAAGGGGCAACAGCTAGAAATGGAGAAATTGAAAATGGAAATAGAGAAACTGAGACTGCATATGGAAATTGATCTTCAGAAGGAACGACAGCGTCTGGAACTGGAAGCCGAACGGAGGAAGGTTTATTGTGAGGCTAATCCTCCAAATTATCGAGAAACGGCTAGAAAAGAGGTCAGCAATGAAGGAGAGATGGTGATGGATCTTATCAAGGGTGTTGTGAAGCTGGTTGGACCCGAATTACTTGCAATAGGTTTAGGTAAAATGAGAGAATATTATGCCAGTAAGCCGTCAGTTGCCCCTGTGAGAAATGAATCTGATAGAGCTGAATCACCTGTTGATAACCCACAGGTTACAGATAAAACCAGCAGGAAGGACGAAGCCAAATAGTTGAACATCTGTCATCAGTCATGCATTGTATGGAAATATTTTTTGATGTTTATATATTGGCTTCACTTTGTGTAAAATGTTTAGAATCAAACGCATAACATCCAGTTCCGTCTATTTTTTTAATCGTCCATTGATTACAAACCTTTGTTCGCTCGATCATTTCATGCTTTAAAATTAAAAAATATATCTTCAAATATGCATGGATTATTGACTATCTTATATCACAGTAAATCGGTTGTATATTTGTCCGTTCTAGTATACGCAAAGTTCAAATGTATGTTATGAAGAATGAATTTAAATTAACATTTGGCACTTCTGTGTTTTGGGGTAAATCTATAGTCTGATTGCAGTGAAGACGTACCGATGGATTTCATTTTAAACAAAAAATTAAATCAAATAAAGTGAAATTAAGATTGCGAATCCTCATAATCTTACCTTGCCAACTGAACATTTAAATCTCAGAATTTTATTCAACTTAGGACAAAACTGTTTAATAAACGATCATAGATTCAAATCGCTACTATTGGTTTGTACAGTAGAAGCTGTTTTCTGTTCAGATGGCAAGGACACCGTGGCAGACTCACTTGTCACACTTTCAGATAACACCTTTAGCCGGTATCTTGCTGCTTCTATTGCCCCGAATTCACTTTTAACAACAAAGAGGTTATACAAATTCAAGGGCTGTAAAATATTTATCACTCTTCCTATAAGATCACCGTTAACTTTAACTAGGTCACTGATCTTGATCGAGTCAGCCTAATATGGCGGCCATGTTAGTTTACAAACAATGCCAAAATTGTTTGGGTTTTCTTTAAGGTTATTTATTTTAAAAGACTACTATTTATAACGCAATTTTATTGCAAAATAATAATTTCTATTAAAAAGAGTATTCATATTCTGTAACCTGTATGTTTTCTTTTTAAATCTCGGAATGTGTGAGTACAGCACGTTCTAATCATCAATGAAACGGTAAAAGTTTTCAATGAACTTGGATGATGAAAAGTAGTTCCATCAACCAATCATAATTCTTCTCTGCTTATCCGACCAATCAACGTTGAGAATCACTGAAAAGCACATGTGCGATTATCACAAAAATAATCACCTGTGTATCCTAGCCCGTATGGGTAATAAACCAGTATTATTCCCATTTCCAATATGAAAACAGGCTGGAGAGCACCAGCAACCGAAGGAAGATCACCATGCTGGGGGCATTGTGACTTACAGTACTTTGGCTACCTTCATGGACCCAGGTTGGATTTACATCAGTCCTTCAGGAGTTGGTGACTTTTGCACAAATTAGTCATAAAATATAACGAATATTTATTCTTCATTAAAATCACGACCATCATGGGGCCGTCACAGCGATGACACACCACAAAGTTTCGACACAAATGCGACCCGTGACCGAAGTGTTGACATTTATAACATCGGAATGGATTGGGGCATACACATCCACCCCGATATTCAAATATCCTTTTTGATCGACTACGGAAGGGAAGATTAAACACATGTCAAGAGACATGTTTGATTTTGTTACTATGTCATCTTCCTGGAAGGGAAAACATCACGTATGATACCTCAATCATTTAGAGTTCTTTGCACAGACACATCAACCTCAACATTTGCAAATGTATTATCTGATAACAAATTTAGAGATTGCTCTCTTGGTGCACATTCCACCAGAAGTGAACGAGTAAGACGAGTTACATTTTAACCTCGCCACAAATCTCAGAGAAATGATTCAGCACCCATTTTCCTCACCCACTATGTTGTTTCACACCGCACTCAGCAATATTCCAGCTATATGGCGGCGGTCCGTAAATAATCGAGTCTGGGCCAGACAATCCAGTGATCAACATCATGAGCAACACTCTACGCAATTTATGTCCGATGACACGTGTCAACAAAGTCTTACACGATCCCGTTAGTCGCTTCTTACGACAAGCAATGGTTGCTGAAGATCAATTCTGGCCTGGATCTTCACGGTGTTTCTTGAAGTGAAACAAGTTGGTCATCATGGCATATGGCAGCAATTTGGTCAAAGTATGACTTCACATCAACGGCTAAGCTACCGAAGAATATATTTCCTTTACACCAACAGGAATGCTCCCTTAGTTGTTTACTTTCTCATTATTCAACTCAAAAATAGATTTTACATAATTATGTTTAAGAATATAACTCGTAACGATGACAACTTAGATTGCATCATGTGCCTGTAGCTTACATAAATATATATACATATTTATATAGTACAAGATATAACAATATATAACATACACACACTGTTATCTCAGCATTTTAGGCACACTTTAGTACATACATTGAACACACGTCTTGTTAGTAACAGATTGTGAGGGTAATGAATTTAGAGCAATATCGAGTTCACAATTTCCACGATCATATCAGCATCTCTTAAACAACTTACTGCATCAATACAATTCAATCCAATGGCATTTCACACAGTATGTACAATTTCTTATTAATGTATGTCAGAGTGTAGAAGAATAAATTTGTTTAGCTATACAAATGCATATAGTTGTTTCTTAGAAGTCTTGCATCTTAGAAGTACTCATATGGCACAACTACGGAATACGAATATATTATAGCACTGTGATACTAACATTTCAGTATAAATCCCTTTCTTGCTTGACCAGTGTATAAAGATATATACTGAACATTTACATCACATCATAATAAAGTTGTTTTCCGCAAAATCTGCTTTTGTTAAATACACAGTTTATTATTGGAAATAGTTCGCGAAAGGTAACAACTGACATGCCCACAGAAAATTAAATGTTTGAAATAAGATACAAATCAATACTTCACATCACTTAAATGAAAAGTTTTAGATACACGTGTTGTTTGATAAAATGTTCTTTGATTATTGACAATCTGACAATCAAATAATATCAAATAATGAAATCAGTATTGCAGCCATGGAATTCAAGTATATATAATCCTGATGCTGAATATTTAAGCCGCATTTTATCTCGAGTTAGTGATTTTAGTTTTACGCCACATTCAGCAATATTCCAGCTGTATGACGTCAGTCTGTAAATAATCGAATATCGGACAGACCTATTTCAGTCATATACCGACATGTCACATTCTAATGTGGTGGAAAATCAAGTTGATGCAACGCCTTTATGTAACACATAAAGATGGGTACAGTAGTTTAAACTAACATCACGATTAGGATAAAATATCAATTCAAACAAGTCAACGGATCCTGCTATCCAAGGAAACAACTCTGCATAGTGAGCTATGCCATCTTATAGACATGTACAAATGTAATCTCATTGGTATATTGAGTCATGACGAACTTGACTGCAAGAGACTCCTCTTGAACAAAGTAGAGGTTGTGAGTTGCTGATGTTACGACAATGATTATAGAATTGATACACTTTCAAAAACAATCTGTTTTACAGGGCACAATTAAATGTCATGATGATACGATGACAGAACATATGTTTATGAATCACAAATGAAATAGTAGAAGATACCAGGTGTTCGCGAAAAAATTAGCATAATGTACAAAGATCTAAACAAGCATTCTGGGAACACAATGGCCGATTTTGCCGCTATGGCAGCGCTCAACAAATCTGTGACACCACTTCTTATTCCATACTCTGATTACAAGGTTAGCATTAGAACCTGCATCCGTGATCTGATGCAGAAGAAGTGGGACACTCAAGAAGGTATGAATAAATTACATGAAATAAAACTATATTGGTTACACCTACTTGGTTGTGAGTCCAGATTTATGTGGTCATCATGCGACGATGTTGCATTGGCCACACAAGATATACAATATGGATATTTGCTTAAAGGTGAGGATCCTCAGAAGAATCACGGCATGTCTTGCTTGACTGTATTGATTTTTCCATCACAAGGGATAAATATTTCAATGTTAAAACAGTGAAAGATCTTTGTAATGTAAATTATCATTTAATCATTGAATTTTTAAAAGAAATAGAATTGCTAGACAAATTTAAAAAAATGGTTTGTAAATAGAAAAGTATTTTATTATTGGTAGCTTGGATTAGTAACTGGCATTGTTAGTGGCTGTACCCTCAAAGGGGGTTGAAGTATTGTAAAAGGATTGTCCTCCTGAGAGGGTACGTACGTCCAAATAAACATTCAAAGTCAATTTAAACTTACCAGGATTTTTCAACGTAGTATTCTTGTTTTTTAATTTTGGGTAACATTTCTTAGAATCAGCAGCTGAAGGGATGGTGTAAATCCAACTAGGGTCCTTTGCAGGTAGAAAAGGTACTGTAAGGCCCCATGGTCCCTAAGTATGGTGATCTATCTTCAGTTGCTGGCGATATATAGCCCGGTGAGGATCCTCAACATCCCTTGATTTGTGAGATACTTAACAGTCATTATGATTCATGTTTCACTAATGTTGCAGACATCAGTAGTTGTTTGATATGTGTATGCATTATCAGCATGTAAATGTGAAGAACAACTTGTAAAATCCCTAAGAGTCTGTAGAACGTAACAATTTAGAAAGAACTGATTGCATCCTACATTCATGTGTATTAAAAACGTATTTCGACTTCCCTAACACATAATGGAATGTCAAAAAGCTATTAATTTGCAGTTTAAACTAGTAAGTATATAATCACCATCCAGATGCGCCTATCGGTGTGTCGGAGGAGGATAGTCCAGACAGAGCACTGGTCGTCTTGGGATGGACAGGCCAGGGAGAAATTCTGGACGACACATTTGGTCAATGTGTCACCGTAAAATGTCAAAGAGCCATCTGTCAGAGATATGGAGGAAACATTCAGTTCATTGACACTCAGGACTGTTTCATACGGGCATCATGATTCTGCTGATTACAGGTCATTGCATCCAAGTCTCGTGGAGATCGCAGATATCGCCAATCACAGGAATTTTAAGATTCCAGATTTTTACAGGCCATTTAAAGCCTTACTACATGTATGTCAATATTTTATTGAAATTCTCCTGTTTCTTTTCATCACTAAATGCAA